GAGCCAGTGGTGAGTAACAGCCCATGTGCAGGTACTCTTGTAGGTCTGGGAGATAATCTTCTGGTGAAGTTACTGCCTGACAGTAACCTTCCATGCTGGTGCTTCCTCTGGTCCCTGCCTGCACACTCAGTTATTGTGGATTGGTGCCTGCCCATGTAAAATGCAGTGGAGGCTGTTAACTGGACCTTCGGAGTGTAGGGAGCTGGGACCAGGCTTGAGTTGGTGAAATGAGGGAGGTAAGTGGAAGCCTCTCCTGTGTGGGGTTATGGCTCTGGGGTTTAATGAGAGTGTGGTGAGGGATGCAGGTGTATGCATCGTTCTGGTCTGTTCCTGTCTCTGTGCCTGGTCACACTGCTGGCACTCAATGAGGGCTGAGAGTCCTTGTCTTTGGGTAAATCCAGGTGCTGTACATAACCAGGCTCAGTTTTCCAAGGTGTGGCAGTAGTCATGTACAACTTGATACATGCTGCTTTCTAGCTTTTAGCATTCCCACATAAAAAGGCATCCTGAAGGCTTAAATTAATTGCTTCTGAAATAGTCCAAGTGTGGAAATTTTGTCTGCTTAAAAATAGCAATGATACAAAAGTAAATGATGGTGAAAAGAGTAGCACTGCAAAAAGCTTTGGAGTATATTCTGCTGATGGATAATTTAGCCTTTGCATCAGCTTTGCACAGATGACTTCAGTAGATAAAAAGGAAATTTAAATCCCTTGAGTCCTCATTAATTTCACCACAATGAGTAGCTGTGGAAACGCCAGTTTAGGACGTGATTGTAACACACCAGTACTACCGAGCCATCTTTTGTATGCAAATTAAGATATTTGCGTTTATGGCTCTCAAAACAGTTGTAGCAGAGCTCCTTTTGGAAAGGATCTAGTGGTGTTTGGCAGTGGTGTTTGTATGCGACAGCTCTTTGCTGCTCGGGGTCTTAACTGCCATGGTTCTCTCTGTAAACTGATAGATTTATTTTTTTGTGTTATTGAAGCTCAGGAATACTGTGGGAAAGATGTGCTTTCAAGTGCCTGTTACTTCCACCTTCCTCTTTTGAGCACTCCTATGCCATTCCAGCCACTGGAAGGAGCTTATTGACTTAAGAGTGCAGGATCCAGCCCTGAGTAATTTAACAAACAATGCTGCACTGGACACATGCATTTTGACTTGATACATCTATTCTGCTGAAAGGAAATGAAAACTGACCTTATTTCAGTTATGTAAACAAATAATAAAAAACCCCATTGTGCGTACCCGGAGTTAGACTTGGAAAGGATGTGTGGAGGTGATTAAATCCTCTGTTTTTGTGTGTCTGTTTGCACATCCAGGAAGAGTGAAGCAACTGTTTGGGGACAACTGGAATTTATTTTGCTGAGAGGCAGGAAGACATTCTGATGGCACTAGCTTACTGCACTCTTGCATTTGTTATTAATTCCCTTCTGTTTTCATCACTCTCCACCTCTTCAGTTCCTTCTCCATCTTTCAGATCTCTTGCAGCCTTTCATTTTCTTTGTTTTGAAAGGCTTCATGAAAACTGCATCTGTTGTAGGATCTCTACATACAATCCTGTAGTAGGAAATTCTCACCCATGGCAATGATTCAACACGTGCTGTTTGCAGAACACTCTTTGATTTATACAGTGAAGGAGGCTGTCCATGTTGTTCCATGCCACAGGATGATTCCAGTAGTATGTTAGTGCCATTAGGCAATAAAAAATTTTACACACATGGAACAGCCTTGCTGTCAAATTACAGGAGAACCTCAGTTCTGGAATAGGAAAGACTAATTTGCAAAAAAAATAGCAACTTGTTTTGAAGACAGTAAAGGCAGTGAGGCTTTAACTTTACCCTTGTAATTCAAGCTGTAAAATGTTATGGATTTGATTCAAATTGCTGGAAAGCATGTGCTTAACCTGGAGTGTGTTCCCTCAGAAATGTTAATAGTCCTATGGCCAGACTTCACGATGTCGCTTGGTACGTTGCTGGTAGGATCTTCTGGTACCTGGTCTGACTGATTCTTTCGTGCAGAATCTGTTCTGATCTATGTTCCTATAGACTGTGATCAAGTTACCTCTTTGTGTTTACCTGAGAGAAAATTAATATTACCTGCATTGTTCTCTAGTGAAAAGAGGCGAAGTTTATTTCCTGCTTTTTCATTTTAAAAAAAGTGAAGTTCCATTTTATACCTCTCCCCATCTGTGTTTGTAGAGACCCGTGGGACTGACAGATGTAATTGCTGTCTTGCTTTACACTGTAGCTGAGGCATGTGCAGCGTTTGGCAGTCACGTCCCTGCAGGAAGTCATCCATGGCAGTGAGCAATCAATCCCTTTCACCACACGTTGCTGAGTGCTGCTTGTTTGTACTGCTCTGACACAGCCTGCTCTGAGGTGATCTGACAGTATACTCTCTGTAGTATCTGGAGCAATCCTAGAGTTTCCACATGGTCTCCAGGTCTTGTTCACACTCCCTTCACAGCTCTGCAGCATCCTCTGATCATTGCTCGTTTCGTGTGCCAGTGTGAGAATGTTGACAGACTCCATGAACTGGGGCTGCTCCCTGGGCATGCTGGCAACGTGATCTCTGTGGATACCTGTCATCCCCACGGAGTGCTACTGTGAAGGTACTGGATGAGAGCTGCTTAGTTGACTTGTCTGTGTAGTATGGTAGGAAGGAGGTGTGTCATACCTGGAATAAAAGGTGATTGTGGAAGGTCTGCTGGATTGGCACTCAACATCTCGACTTGGTGATCCATAACTGACACTTGGGTATGGTCCTTGAAGCAAATTTTACTGATGCCTTTACCCATGTGGTCTTGACTGATTTGCTTCAAATCTTAGCAGCGAGTAAAATGGGCTTGTGATACGGATGACTGGGGTGGTGGTGTCAACACCCAGTTTTGCCCCTCAGTACTGATTTTATTTAGTGATATAGATGCAGCCAGTAAAGATGAGGTGGTGCTCTGAGAATATGAGGAGCTTTTAAGGCTTGTTAGGTTCTGTGTGACCCACTGTCTCGTATCCTGACAGGCTGTGTGGGAGACAGAAGCTGTATTTGATTTCTAGCTTAACCACTGAGCTTCTGGGGGACTGTGGGTGTCACCCCTTAGATTTCAGTTTACACTGTTCCAAGACAAACATAATGGTACTGACCTCAGTTTGTGCAGTGCTTTCAGATCTGCTAAGAAGTGCTGTTTAATGTGTTGCAGTTTTGTAACAAAGGCCTCCAAATGTGTGTCAGCTCAGAGTCTGTGCAACTAGTGAATACAGCCACATGGGAAATTTGAGGTTTGTAGTTATGTGATAATAGCCAAATTACCTGTGTTTGAGATGAGTGGTGAGGTTTCCTTCTGGCAAAAACCATTAGATGTTTTTTTGCCTTGTTCTGTTTTCTGGGTTATGATCATTTGCATGTGACCATAAAATCATCACTTGACTGTTTTCTGCTCTTCAAAGGACTTCAGATGCTGTTCTTGGTCTTTGTCTCCTTGTCCCATCCTATCTCACAGTTACTTCTGGCACTTGACCTTCTACCATATACGTCAAATTTGTTACTGAGAGACTGTGCAAAGAAGCTGACATGAGTCATCTTCTGGATTAGATATCCTTGAAATTTCAGTGACCTGGATTTGAGATCTGGAGAGGATGCTTCTGTCTCCTCAGTTCCTGCATCCTGGTGTTTAAGGACATCAATTGTCTGTGCAAACAAATGGTGTTTTGAAGTGGCAATACAGTCTGGTTCAAATGGGTCATAGCACCATATAAAATAAAAAGAGGTGAAAGATCATCCCTAGCTAAAACCCTTCCCTTAGCCCTTAACATGGTTCTTGTGACAGAGCTCTTGGCAAGAGAACAGAAGAGATGAACACTTTTGTAGAGGAGAGCAGAGACGGTTAAGCACTGAGATCAAAGGGAACAAGGGGGCTGAAATCACCCACTGTGGAGGGGCAGGCTGCACCCTTGCATGGTTGGCTGATCAAAGGGAGTGCTGCTTCAGGTGGGTAGGACAGGAAGAACGCTTGCCTGTGTCCTTTCTCCTTTCAGGGCAAGTCAGCAGGCTTGCATGGGTAGGCTTGGCATGGTGTTCCCTTGTTTGGTCATGTCTTTGGTTAATGGCAGCAGCCTGTGAGAAGTTGGTGTGCCAGCCTGCATTTTTCTTTCCAAAATCAGACTTGCAGCATGATGATAGACATTTGTGGGAGCTTTCACACAGTAAGCAATGTGATTTGCTTCTTGTTAGCTCATGGCCAGTGACCTGCCCATCCGTAAGGGAGCACTGTGTACTCCTGCTGGGTTCTCAGTGTTTGTTGGAGAGGAACTGCTGCTGTGCACAGAAACTGCCCTAGTGCTGGCAGTCTCCTGCTCCTGCCCTGTGCCAGGCAAAATTTCCTTCACACCGTCTTTGGCGCTTGCTGTTGAAGTTGCTGGCCGTGTTGTTGGGGCTACTGAAAAGGTCAGTGGTGGATTCGGAACAATGATAATGAGATAGGTTGATAAACCTGTTGGGGAGATCTTCTTGGGGAAATTGGGGAATTGATTTCCAATGTGGGCTCCAGTTTTGAGGATGGCTTGTTATAGGTTCTGCATGCTGGGAGCGTGAATGTTTGAAGCCTGCAGGGTAGGGTAGTGCAGGAACTTATTTTTGATTCAGGGATCCTAAATGCCCTGAGCATACTATGTAGATTACTTCCTGCTTTGTCTGGAGTCTGTTTGACCAGATCAAACAAAAGTGTTTGACAGTAACTGATGTAATTGCAATCACTGGACTTCAGGCTTATGAAGAATGCAAAACCCAGGACCTGGCAACATGCATGTGGTTTTAGAACTGTGTCCTTGTGGTGCAACTGAAATGAGTATGTGCTTGATCACAAGGAGGTCAGGAGTAATTCGGTGTTCCTGACACCATAACTAAGCATCATAGTCTTTTCTGGGAAGCAGAAGTTTTCAGTCTATGGATGTCCTATGAACTTTTATCAATTCAGTGAAAGTTACAATTTTTTCTTTCTTTTTTTACAGCAATGTGGAGTGACAATAACTCTGTGAAGCTGAAAAGTGATCGTTCACCTCCTGTGCAATGGTGTGAGGTAGCTGCCCATGAAGATGAGGAGACCAAGCTGGTTTTTAAAAGGTACTCGCAAGTAAGTGTCATTGTCACAGCAACATAGAGGTCACTGCTGTCTCCACAGCATGAACAGTTGCCAAAAGGATGCAGAAATCAAGGCATGAGGTTGCCAGAGGAACTGAATGCAGGGTTAAGCACACAGCTTTCTCTGGGGCACCAAGGACCCTTTGAGGAGCCTAAGCTCGCTCAAAGTAGTACCTGTTTTCCCAAGCCAATGTGGGATCCTAGTACTTTGCTCACAAGTATTTCTAATCTTTTTTTTTTGTATCCAGATAAGTAAGAAAGGCAAGGCTTTTGTACAACCTGATAATTGAAGGAATTGAAGGCCAGTGGATGCTGAGTGGGTGTTTTGGGGATGTGTTTCCTCATAGTTATTTTGTTTATGAAGACTTTTGGAGTGCTAAATCAAAAGTCTTACTCTATTGTTTATAGTTTGACATCAAATTAGAATTGAATGTTTACTCATGTACATCCAGAGCCATATTTTAAGCCAAAAAAAGTTCACTACTGGGATGTTATGTGAATTTTTAGATCTTAAACACAAACTGTTACATCCACAGGTGTTTTGAGCACCTGAATGGTGCAGCCCCAGCTGAATCTGGGGATACTTGATAAACTTTTGTGCAGGAAAACCAGCTCCACTCATCTATGAATCCTCTGCTTTCTGCGTGTTGGCTGATTTCCCACGGTTGCAGCTTCACTATCAGTGCAAAACTTAGTTTAGTTAAATGAGGAGTGACAGCAGTGCAGCTTCACCAGTGGTCACCTTGCTTGCAGTGTGTACTGCAAACTGAGTGCCAGGATTGCGTGTATTAGTCTATATGGTACAAACTTAAAAGAAATAAAAACACTGGAAATCTGTATTAACTTCATGTGCAAGGGTTTTAAGAAGGACTGGACACACTGTACATTGTGTATTTTTCTGAAGATATTTAAACAAATGTCCAGTCCTTGAGAAACAATGGGAAATAAAAATCAGTTACAAAGCTCAAAGTACATACTTGAGCAACTACCACAACTCAAACCAAATAATGATTAATTGTTTTACAGATCAGTTTAGACATGAAATGAGCCAAGTGACCATTTGGACATTGACAGTAGCATTCCTTAGGAATGAGAAATTAATAGGTCAAAAATACACATAGTCTTATATTATGCAATTTTAAAGTTTGGAGTTTTTTTTCTTTCCTCTGCATGTTTTGAGCATGTAAATAACTAAGTTCGTCTTCTCAATATAAACCCGAGCATCTAAGTTCTTCATTCAGACTTGCCAGTGAGTTGAAAGTTTTGTTTCAGTGGTGGCCATTGGCCCAAAATCATGCAATTTCAGGTTTAATCTTTTTTTTTTTTTTTTCTTAGCTTGCACAAAAATAAGTATTTCAAGATAGAGTTGCCCTTTAAAGAAGAAAACAAAAGTCACGGTTGTTTTTTTTATGTGAGGAAAGCTGTTTGACTCAGAGATGCATTTAAAGTATATGATGCAGGCACAGAACTGCATAAATCAGAGTATCAACATGCAATATTTTCCTTATCGAAGCATCTCTATAGGTTCGTACTTTCCTGCAGATAGCTCTGAAGAGTTGTGAATGACTTGGAGTGAACAAATCAATGTATTTTTTTGGCTTGATTCTAATGCAAGTATTCAGCTGAAGTTCTTCAGCTCTCATAAATCTGCTTAAAAATATTGATGTAATTGTTGTCTGAATGCTGAAAAAAAGAATATTTTTTGTTCTTCTCTCCTACCCCTCACCCTCCTGTTTGTTTTTAGAATTCTTGCACTGTTTGTGGTTGGAGGGTGCTTCCTTTATATCCTCAAATTACATTTTGGCCCTGAAGAATGTGACAGAACAAAAATGCAGTATGTGGACCTCGATCGTGTAAGGGTTGGTATTTTTTGGCTTTTGTTTCCCCACTTGGCTTAAAAAAGTTATTAATTGACAATATAAGAGCTATAGGGCTCTATAATAAAGAGCTAGAAGGCTGAAATTATCCTGTAAGGGAAGATATATTTTCACTTCATTTCATGACATAGAACTTCTGATTTTTGTTCTTGTGGAGTGACAACAGAAGTGCATGGAGAAACTGGATTTTTAGGGGTAAAATTGTTCAGCTGTGACATTAACATTTGAAGTGGACATGTCATTGTATTATTATGTCAGTACAGGTGACACTGGTGATCAGAAGATTGATGCAAATATAAAAAATAATCCAACACCAACAACCCAAACCCAACACATTAAACCAAAGGGGTTTTTTTACTTAAGCCAGTCCTCCAGTTCTGCTTTGCCTTGGAGTTGCTCAGATGTTTTTGGAATGACAGGATAGATGTGCAGGAGGTTTACAGCTATTATTTCATCTATTCCTTTAAGGTGGCAGCTACGTACTTTAATTGCAGTTTTGCATGTAGCTTTTAAGCTGCTGTAACAGATACCACTAAAGCCTTTGCTACTTTACCTGTTTGCACTAACTGGCTTAGAGCTGTTACATTTCTGTCTTTGAATATTTCAATGCCAAGACACAACTTAGAGGAGTCCTGATTTAAGATAGTTTCATCTTAGCATTACTGCATGTGCTTTCTCCCTCTCCTCCCATCATCTTCAGTACATATTTTTCCCCTTCTGAGCTTCTTTGCCTTCCCCTTTTCTTCTCACCTGACTTACTTTCTCAATAATATATTCTAGATTCCAAATACCAAACACATTAAGCCAAGCAAACCTAAAGATTGCATGGACCTTGTTTATTGCTGTCTTATTTTGTTTTCATTTTGTTTATATTAGATGCAGGATGAGGAAAGAGCATTGCTCTTGATCTAGTTAGGTATTAGGTAATTATAAACTGGGGCAATTGTCAAGTGAATGGCATCAAGTTTTATTGATAGATGCATAACTGTCAGCCTTAAAATGAGGCTCTTCCAAAGATGGACTGACTCTTACCAACAAAGTATGAAGCATGAAGTTGCTTAGTCACGCTTGGCCAGTGTGGTGTTTTGCAAAAACTTGCAGAAACCTTCATAATGGTGGTTGAGGCAGTTCTGTAGATCAGCCTTGGCTTAAAAAAAAAAAAAAAGTGAAGATGAAAAAGCAACACAGCTTCCCTCCTTGTGCACCCAGATTCACATCTAGTGCTAGTTCAGTTCTGTACTGTTAAGGAACGGGAAGTGTCTGTCTTGAATCTCTAACACCTGTGTTTGCTTATGGGTTTTTTAATTACAGTGGAGGAAAAACCATCAGAGTTCATTGGAGAAGAGAACATACAATCAAGGATTTAACTGATAAAAATAATACCTTTGCTGTTTCTCTTCTTCCTTACATCAGATACCAACTTTCCACTACAGATTTCTAAAAATGTACATGAGTAGTGTTTTGTTTTGTTTTTATTATGAGATGGATCAATGTGTAGTTTCTTCTGGCAGGTTAATCTTTTTATGCAATATGGAGCTGTAGACTTTTAGTTTGGTGACTTAGTCTTCGAGAAAAGACCCAAAACACCCCCACCTTGCAGTCCTTTGAAAGTTGTGTTTTAGTCCTTAGCAATAGCACTTTAGCAATACTTACGGAAGAAGTGTTGCTTCACTCTGACTAGTAAGTGAGTCCGGGCTGCTGTTTTACAGAACATTTTCCCAGTGGATTTGTCTCTGGCAGAATTCTACCACAGGCAGAACTTGGGGCACACAGCTAAGCAGTGGAGAAGAATTCCACTTGCTGCTGAATTAGGTGGATAGATCTTTTTTTAATATTTTTTTTGTTTGGTTGGTTTTTGTTTGGTTGGGTTTTTTTGTTCGGGTATTTTTTTTATTATTGTTGTTGTAAAAAATAGTACAAATTTCTTACAAGACTCATTTTCACTTAGCACTTCTACTAGCCTAATTTATTCTGTAGAAACCCTCATATCTGGTTGTGACTGGGTGGTGAGACATTCCTTCACCCTGTGCTGGTAATATCTGATTTTGAGTGAATGCTTTAAAATGTGTTGCACTTCCATGTTTAAGCTTGCTTCTTAAACCTCTGTGTTTGCTGAGCTGCTGGTGGTCAGTTGGTGGGTTGCATTAAGAAGACTTTGTCCATGCCTGCAGCTGACTTTCCTGCCTGGAATCCTGTGTTTTGTTTCAGAGAGCACAGCAGTATGCTAGTGCTGTGCTGCAGGAGCAGTGCCGACCTTCCTATGTGAAGAAAGAAATGGGGAAGTTGTTTGCAGAGAAATATACCATGGACATATCTCCCTTTGTAAGGAAAAATATAGATGAAGATGAAGCTTTATTTAAATATGAGCCTCCGTTTGGATTTCACAAGTTCTTTGATAAGCTTCAAAATCTCCTTGAACTCTTACCTGAGCATGATTTACCAGAGTATTTGAAGTCAAAACACTGTAAGCGTTGTGTTGTTGTTGGCAGTGGTGGAATTCTTCATGGATCAGAGCTGGGTCATTTGTTGAATCAGTTTGATATTGTTATAAGGTACGTGCTTTACATTTAAGAATTCCAAGTACTTCAACATTACTTTACTTTGAGCCAAAATTAATAATTTTTTTTTATTAAGAGGAGAGTATCACCAACATTTATGTAACTTACAGGACTATTTATGATAATGCTTTTGAGAAATTTACTTATGATTTGATGGAATTTGAGGAGCAGAATAAAGTGTCATGTTCAGAAGACAGGAATTCAGTGTAATTATTGGTGAACTTCAGATACAAAAGAAAACCAGCTTGGGTAGAAATGAGATAGAAACTAGTGAAATCATAGACAAGCAGGCAATCCTGGTTTCATATGTTCAAGCTTTCAGAGCTTAAACTTTATGATTTTAGGACTCACTTCTGCTTTTTTTTCCCCCTTGCTTAGTTGGTGTGCTTATTTGAAGGATTTTTTATACCAGCTATTTCAAACACAAAGTTTGTTGGTGTTTCAGTAGACAGTTTGCTTACACACCATGTAACACATTTATCTTTCTTGTCTTTGCAAGGTCAGCTCATGCTTTCTGTGACTGCCCATCTTTTCTAACATCTGGATGACATACTCTGTATTTGTGCCTTCTGAACATTACTGTTTGAACTCTCCTTTGTTTTGAATCATGTAAAGTCACAAATAAATTTAATACAAACATTTTCCCAACTTGTTTTGTAAACTAAGGCTTGCTCCTCTTAAAAAGGGAAGATTTCGTTGAGTCAATAGCTCTTACACAAAGGTAAACAAACCTCTTAGCATGTGGAGGTGCAGAGATCTTGCATTAGCTGTTCTCTGAAATTAGGGCTGGCAGCGTGAGGGTGATTTTTGGATATAGAAAAGTTTGCAGGACTTACACTGTTCTGCAGAACAGATGAAAGCAGGATGATGTTATTCCTGTTAGCAGTGTGCCAGCATCTGAAATTTTTGGTGAGCTGGAATGATATAAACCCACAGAATACACCACACTGCATTGGAGGGATGATTTGAATGCCTTTTTTATGTGGAATGCTCATGGGATTGTCTTGTGTATATGTGTGTACATACATACATACATACATACATATGTAAAGGATAATGCAAGCAACTTTGTGTGTGTTTTCTTCCCGTTCCTCTTTTAAGCCTCTCTGAGCTGACACAAGACAATGAATATGGAATTCTGCAATGCTGTTTTAAGTTACTTTTCCGTTCAAACTTTTCTTTTTGAAGTTTTGTGCTCGTGCCTGTTCATCTAGAAATAGAATTGGCTTCCTTCCAAAGATAAGGGCTGGGAGAGTGTGTGAGGCAAGGAAGATGGAGATTCAAAGAAAACACTGCACTCTGCTCTGTTAAAAATCTATGGGTCAAATAACAAGTTTTTCCTTAGTGTCTGATGTTTTAATGAGATTGTAATCTGTATTTATTAAATATAATTTGTCTCCATTGTGGGTTTTTTCTTTCTCCCCAGGTTAAATGATGCACCAGTTCAAGGATACACAGAGCATGTTGGTAACAAAACGACTATCCGGATGACTTACCCAGAAGGAGCTCCCCTTGCTGAACATGAGTACCCTCCTGGCAGCTTGTTTGTGACTGTTCTGTTTAAAAGTGTTGATTTCAACTGGCTGGAAGCAATAGTAAAAAATGAAACCTTGGTATGTAATATGACAGTCTTATGTACCTGTATTTTTCTTTGTTTTGTTAGGCGTAAGAAGCTGATTGATGTGTTCCTTCCTTCTGTTTTATTACGCTGAGGATCTTTTATATAACTTCATGAGGTTTTTTTTTAGCTCTGTCTCCTAGTTACAGTTGGACCAGTATTCATGTTGAAGCCCCATGCTGGCAGTTATGCTTCTTTTTTTTTTTCTGCACCTACTGGTGGTTTGCACAAAGCTACATGAGATACCAAGTGTTTACTAAAGTGGAATTCATTTCACATTAGGTTTGAGTGACTTGTTCAAGTTTGTAGAGCCTGAAACAGAAATTAGATTTTTGAATGCCAGTCTGTTTAAAAAACAGCTGAAGTCTGTGCTGCTACAACAGGCATACATGCAGTTAACGTGTCACTGAAGATTTGTCCATAGTTATAAAATTAAGAGGTTGCTTTTTTCTCACTGAATATTTAATTAAGTGCAGGGTTCCTAAGGAGCTGATACAAGGATTTCATGTTTCCAAATGAGCTTTGAACCTGTGGCTTCCACCTCTTTCAATTTGCAGGCAGATAATTTCTACAAGTTGAAAACCAGTAGCTAGGTTTTGGCTGCAGGTTGAAAACAAGTACTCTAAATTATTGAGAGATACTTAGGAGAAAGCCTGTCAATTTTTAATAGTTTGATATATACTAACTTAGATACTCCAAATTCCCTGTGGTTTTTACAATATGAGATCACATGGAAGGTCTGTTTCATGTTGACCATGACTGTCTACTACTACCTCAGTCCAGAGAGTATGTGCAGGGATATTGCCTTGTTTTGAATAAACTGAGCACATTTTGTAGAGGGGAGGTTTTCCTGAATGCATGAATTTGTGCAAATTTAAGAACTTTGGTCCCTGATTTAATTGCTTTTTGAAGTCTGTGCCGTCCTCGGTTTTATAGCAGCTATTTCAAACACAAAAAAAGTTAGTGTTTCAGTATACAGTTTACTTACACACTGTATAGCACATTTACCTTTCCTTGCCTTTACAAGTTTTACTAACTCTGTTAGTGAGTTACAATATGGAGCTATGTGCTTTATGAAACGAGTACACGTACTTGGTTTTTTTTGCTTAGGAGCAGATCTACACATTCCCACCTTCTTCTGTGCTCTGTTTTTGCTGCTGCAGAGAGCCAGCAACTACCCTGGGAATGGACATGCTAGAGAGAGTCAACAGAAGGGCCACAAGGATGCTTAAGGGACTGGAACATCTTTTCTATGAGGAAAGGCTGAGAGAGATAGGACTGTTTAGTCTGGAGAAGGCTCAGGGAGAAACCTTATTAATGTACATAGATACCTGAGGGGAGGTACAAAGAGAATGGAGCCAGGCTCTTTTCAGTGGTGCCCAGTGACAGGACCAGAGGCAATGGACATGGACTGAGAGGGTTCCACTGAACATCAGGAAACACATTTTTATGTTGAGGGTAACTGAGCACTGGCACAGGTTGCCCATGGAAGTTGTAGAGGATCTGGATGTGGTTCTGAGCAACTGGCTCAGGGTGTCTCTGCTTGAGCAGGGGAGTTGGACTACTTGATCCCAGAGGTCTCTTTCAACCTCAGCCATTCTGTCGACTGCAAACATACTTGTCTTTCCAAAAGTGAGCTTTCAGTTGTCTCTGCTCTCTGTGCAGGCATTGGTACTGTAGCAAACTGGTTCAGAATGTGGGTGGGAAGACAGGACCATTGCAACCTGTATTTGATCAGCCTAAGCTGCTGTAGAGTTGTACCCTAAAGCCTATTTAAAAACTGTGGGTCTGTGTTGCAGCTATATCAGTTTTATCATTTGCTTAATGTTACCTGTTGTATGGAAAGACATGTGCAATGAGTGTGATGTAGAATTGTTTTTTTCCATTGGCCTGTCTCTGACTGCAGTGGTGTGAGATCAGAATCTGGCTTGTTGAGTCCCTTGTAAATCTTCTTCTCAAGTGTTAAATTTATCACTAGGTGGATGTTGTCAAACAACAGCTCTTCACTTCAAAGCCTGAGCAAAATTGTTTTAAATCCAGTGCTTACTTCAGAATGCCTGGTTAACATTTGTGGAAAACTGTGGTTCCCTTCTCTGCCTGCTTAGTTGTGCTGGGGAAGGGCCAAAGAACCTGGGGGTGCTGGTGGATATGTTGACTGATTAATACAAAGTGCAGTCAAATATCCCCAGGAAACAACTTTTCCCTCTGCAGTCCTCTCTTCAAATCCAAATCCTTTGAAGGTTTTTCTCTTTTGGGTCAGTCACTTCAGAGGGTACACTGGTATTTCTGAACAACCTTAGCTATAAACTGTTTCCTGAATTTTTCAGAGTCACTGGTGAATTCTGTAACTTGTGTACAGTGTGTCTCAGAGTTTCGCTTTGTTGGACTATGTTCTTTTATTTCTCTTAGCCTCTGTGGGTGCGACTGTTCTTTTGGAAGGAGGTTGCTGAGAAAATTCCTTTTTCATCAAAGCAGTTTCGGATTCTGAATCCAGTTATCATCAAAGAGACAGCTTTGGACATTTTACAGTTCCCTGAGCCTCGATCAAAATTCTGGGGTTGGGATAAGGTAAGAAATTTCCTTTTACCAGAAGTGGACTGTAAAATGCAAGATAAATAAAATAAACTGAAAAAAGTTTTTGGGCTTTTTACTTTCTCTGTGCAGCTTCAGAGCTGGTCTCAAGTCATAGGGAAATGAATATGCTTTCAAAAATTATTGTATATTCTTCTGTAGGATTTAATCTCATTGTTTTTAGATGAGGTATTATGACTATCCATGCTGACAGGAAATGGCATTCAGATGCAGGTTGCCCAAGGAGGTTGTGGATGCCCCCAGCCTAGCAGTGTTTAAAGCCAGGGTGCATAAAGCCTTGAGCCACCTTGTCTGATGGGAGGTGTCCCTGCCTGTGGCAGGGGATTGGGACTAGATGATTTCTAAGGTCCATTCCAACCCCTTAACATTCTGTGTAACTATAAATTTACTCCAGTAGAGTGGGTTCACTCACACATCTTTGTGACTTGTGTTAAATACTCAGAAACACACATTTGATGTGTGTTAGGTACCTGAGTTAAGAACAGCTCTGTCAAGCCAAACCAGCCATCAGCTGTAGACAGATATCTCCAGCTGCAGGGAAGGCAGAGTCTGGAAACCCAGGCCAGTGTAAAGCAACCTTCCAGCTGCTGGAATGCTTATGTATGCCAGTGTGCTCAGTAGCAACTGATGGGCATACCCTCCCTCCATGACCTTGCTCCAGTAGTAGTATGAAGTGATGAATTGCCTGGTTTAATTACACACTGCATTTTTGTTATTTTTAATTGAGAAATTGGATGTCACTAGTTCTCTTGAACTATGAAAAGAAATGACTAACCATCATCTTTTTACCTTTTGTGTGAAAGCGTTTGATGTTAATGTTACTGCACAAATGTTTGAAGGATCTCACATTTATTTACTAAAATAAATGTATCAAGCTATGTGCCTTAGCCGTATTGTAGTACATTTGCCTTCTTCACAGGTGGTTCAGTGAAAATTCATGTTCTTGAGAATACTGTTAGAGAGCCTCATGCTTAAGACTGAAATAACTGTAGATCAAGAAGTGTCAAGTTTAACTGTGTGTCAGGAGGAGTTTGAGTGTTTGGAATGAGGGTTCACATGCAGTTTAACTACATGGTAATGGGGTATCTTTCCTTAACAGCAAAAAAAAAAAAGTGTTGACAGCCAAAAGCCTCACTAAAGACAGATACTCAAGTTCTGTTAGTATTTCACTCTGAAGTTTTTAGTTTTACTTGATCATTTCTTTGATTTTTAGTTACAATTGATTTTAGTTTTAATTGACAGTTTAATTGATTTCATTTTTAAGTGAGGAGAGGGAATAGGTAAAGCCATCTTTATAAAATGTTTGTAAAAGCTGGTAAAGGACAATGTTTGAGCTGAATTTATTTTTCCCACTTTCTAGAATGTACCTACAATTGGGGTCACAGCAGTTGTTCTGGCCACACATTTATGTGATGAAGTGAGCTTAGCAGGATTTGGGTATGACCTGGATCAGCCCAGCACACCTTTGCACTACTACAACAACCTCTGCATGGCTGCCATGAACGGACAAACTATGCACAATGTGACAAGTGAAACAAAGTTCCTGCAAAAACTGATCAAGGAAAAAGTTGTCAAAGACCTCACTGGTGGGATACATTGTGAATTCTGCAGCAAAGGCAGCTAGTGACTGACCCGCAGCATAGTTTGGATTTGGGAAGTTTCCAGAGGTTCAGCTGGATCAACCTTTTCACTGTCTTAAGTAATTCTTTGAAGTGTGCATAAAATGGACATGGAATCTCTGCTGCCTTTTTTAATGCCATGTTCAATTTGTTGGACTTTTTAAAGTTATTTTGATGTCAGATTTTACTTTGCACATTTTTGTGAGTAACTGTGTAAATACAACTTGGAGTTGAAAGAGTTCTCTCTAAAGTATTTAACATTTTAACTTGTCTGAATAAAAGCAGATTATTTTGTTTTCAGATGTATATGGTACACAGATCACTGGTCCGAATTGTCTAACAGCATCTAACAAGAGTTATTTTCCACTGAACTACTGTTTTTCTTGATCCAGTTCTTGGTGTCTGACTCCTTTTCGTGCATGCCATGAAAAGAAAGGCATATGCTTCTCAAGTCTGTCATTTCTTGACCTTGAGCATTAAGTTTCCCCCTCAAATATTAATTTTCTTTTGGTTTTGTGCTAATACGTTTTGTTGGAGTGAAGGAGAATGTGGGAGTGGAGCTGAAGGAAAAGGAACTGTTGTGGCAACAAGTGAGTAGTACTTTGGCATTCATGACTGATACTAAAATCAGTGATGCATTTTAACATATCAGAATCCTGCTTTGTAAGGAGGCACCTTTGGATGGGCACCAGAGCACTCTGGAAAGAGGATTTAGCCAGGAGAACATGTTCACCTGAACCAGATCACTTGTCATTTCTATTCTTGATGACCCAGCTAAATGTTTCTAACTAGCTGATTTGCAGCAGAGTTCAGCTACCCGATTATAGAAGTGGCATTAATATAAAATCTGTCCCCCCCCCCTTTTTTTTTTTTGAGTGACTTGAGGATTGCTGGTTCTATAAAACACTAGTTTGCATGAACTCTTTAGCAATAATGGAATCTATGACTAGGTTACAATTTCTATTGGTTTACTTTATGATCCCTAAGTTATTAATTATAGATATTGTCACCTTAGTAGTTTGCAATGCTGATAATCCTTATGAGCTCTAGTGTTGACTGTTTAATTGAAGGGAAAGGTAGAGTTGTTTCCCCCTAACAACTTCTAAGTTAGCAGTTGGGTAAGTGTGTATAAGTTAAGAATAAATCACTTTGGGAAAATAATATGATCTAGTAGCAAGCTAGAGAACTGCTGTAAACAGCATACTTCAAAAAGACAAAAGAAAACTGTAGATACATGTTCTTGTGACTGGAAATCAGTGCACTGCAAAGGAACTGGGCTGTGCAGATCTCTACTCAGTGCAAACAGTCATACCTACTACTCTGCCAGGAACAAAATAAAAATGAATATCCAAACTTAGTGTTTTTAGTCCATATAGGGTATGTGAAAGAGGCTTTCTTTGGGAGTGAAAGCTTGTTAGCAAATCAGTCAAAGGTTGGCCTACAAATGTTCATAATCATGGCCTCACATGGTCAATGTTCCCACTTGTTTTTGTTATGGGTGAAGATATGAATGTAGTTGCAGATCTAAAGTTTCAAAACACTAATGTGGAAATGCAAGGTTAGGGTGGTCGTGTTTGGGGTTGGGTTTTTTTTATTCCACAGAGAAAAGATCTAATGAATGGTAATGTTAGAGTCCAGGAGCAATGGATTGATTGTCACTGTTATACTAAAAGGCAATAAAATGACAGCAGATCATAAAGCATAACTCTGAAGGAAGCTGTGGACCTCATCTTTTCTAAGTCCCACATACCTACATATCTTCAGAAGCCAGTTGTGAATGGTGAGCAAATCTGAAAATTAGAAATTCTGCTCTCTGGTACTGTCTGTGTTCACAGCAATGACACTAATCTCATCTCCTCATCTGTGGATAACCCACATTTTTATATTAGCAATAAATTTCTAGTCTATGTTTTTCTTGTAAGTATAATATATTGTTTAATTTAAAAATATTTCATGTGTGAAGAGTTTTATACCAATAGCTTTTAGTTAATATATTAAAATGTGCTAATTATTTTATCCTGGTATTTAAACTGGAAGCAAAATACCTTAATTTCATTTGGTATTAGTGAAATTTTGGAAAATTTCAGAACATATGTGTGGGAGGATGTCCTGAAAACACCAAAAGTATGTGTTTCTGTGCACTTGGTCCCTCACCAGTTTGCTTTATTCAGCAACTTAAAAATCTAGTTGATTACTGTAAATGCCAATAGCCTTTTGGAGATGCTGTATAATCTGTCAGATTCTCAAAGTATGTTGATGTAGGATTGGATTGTTTTCTCACCAGTTTTTTGACCTGTGATAAAACCTTGTTCTTCATGGTAGCGTGTGTTGCATTGAGTCCTCTTGCACAGACTCGACCCTCTGTTAATCCCAGCAAAAAGCAATAAACTGATGAAACCACTTTCTATTTATTTATTTGTTGCTCAGTTTGCTGTTTGTTCTGCCTCCCTTAGTTAGGATTTTAAGTATCTTATTGATCCAATTGTAAGACTTGATGCAATCCCAGAGGGAAGTTAGCAGCTGGTAATTCTCCAGTTATGCCTTTTTAATATCTGTCAGTGGAATTATCTGTCTGGTGCCTGGAAGAGAGAATCCATCCCAACACTCACCATCGTGTTGGCTTCTAGGATTTTGAAGTTAATGTGGATGAAAATATTTCAGACTGGATTATATAGCACTGGCCTTAAATTCAAGTGTGCCTCCTTCATGGTGGAAACAGACTGCAGCTTCTGGTCTGTGCTTCAGTCTTGGTGGTGGTGAGGTAAGAACCTAAGCTCTGTGTGTCTCTGTTGGTGTGTCACAGATCTTATGCTTTGCAAAGAATCTGCATCATCCCTTGTGGTTATGCCTTAATGGTATTTGGTTAAAAAGTCAACAAGGAGTTGGGGAGCTGTGATAAAGCCATTGTTGTTCCACAGTGAATTCCTCTTTGTGACTCCTGATGTAGGGGCTATCAGAGTAATGGATGTGCCTGACTTGTTCTGATGTGGAATATTTTCATGGTTCCTGTGCCGGAAGTTGCATGAGAAGACATCTAGAGCTGCTTGACTAGAATGGGGAAGTGCCAAAAAGTGTGGTTGCAGTCTGTGATCAGTTGATATCAGAACTGGGCATTGAGCTTGTAGGGTTTGGTGACATACTGAGAAGGAACTGAAGAGCAGTGCAGTCCCTCCAGCAGGTGGATGTGTGCTGATAGCTCCGGGTCTCGTGTTGCAGTTGGAACAACACTGGCAGGAGATGAGAGGGCACGAGGGGAGGTGGCTGCTCTCTGAAATTTCCATTGCCTGGGTAGGCTCTTGTCTTAACCAGTTTCAAACATACTTAAGGTGTTAATATTCTACATAGCTCTTCTAGTATTTAATAAATCAGTATATACATGCTGACAAACTAATATTTACTGTTGTCATCTAAAATGAAGACTTTGTTTTCTGGAAAATAGCAACCTTGCCTGTGTTTTATAAACAAAAAGCCCAACAGCAAAATCCTGCCTGTTGAGGCTGAGATAATTCCCAAGTCCAGGAAAATGAGAATACAATGATATTTAAAAATGCTGTTGATGAAGAGTTAAGCAGTGTTGAAGAAAGAGTTGCCTGAAGTGACATATGACCAGATACACACCTTCATCCCTTAATTCATATTTGTGAAGAGGTACAGCTGAGCTCTGCTGCAAAATTTAACCCCTAAGTTCTACAGCCACCTGAACTGGAACTGTTTACCCTTTTGCAGTAGCACAGGTCTTGGCCTCAATGTTCCTGAAGCTCTCAGTTATGTTTGTAGACAAATGTAGGTACGTCCTGGTAAAAATGGTTTTGAGACATTTGGTATCAGCCTTGTCCCAGGTCTCCTGAGGTGCTGGAAGATGGCAAACCCACTCACTGAGTCCCTGAGGGGCTTGGTGTCACTACACCTAAAGTCCTGTGTGTCTAAACACCTTTCCAAGGCACACAGAGCAGTGCTTTTCTTGCCACAAGCAGTTTTGTGCATTCTCTGCCTCTGAGGCCATTTCCCCCCCCCAAAAAAGAACCTTGTGAGCAGGAACTGAAGCACCCACTCTGTGCCCATGGGTGGTGTGAATTGCAAATAGGTATCAAGTGTTGCATTTCAATATGTCTCCAGTCAAGAGGGGGGTGTGCTGCAAAACTTCCTACATTTTGTACATATATAATCCTCATCAATCCTGGGAAGGAGCTGCAGTGGCTCAGCTCTGTGCTGGTGATGGATCTGTACATTGCCATGAGGGAATTCTGCTCAAGCTCGACCTGTATTCCTTGCACCAATCTGTGTACAGCTTATTGCATCCATGTGCTAACTGCAGCAAGACACTTTTTTAAAAAAAAAGAATATGACAGAATGACTTCCTTGAAGGATGACAAGGGTTCGTGGTGGGAGCCTGGCATGTGTTCCTCACAAGCTGGAGTTTAACTGTTGTGTGTGACTGACTCTCTCAAGGACGTGACAGCATCAGTGGCTGCTCTGATGGTCAAGGTAGGAGGCAGGTGTTAAATCAGCTGTTTTCAGGTGGGAGAGTGGAGAGGCAGGGCCCATAAATTTTGTTTTTCTCTTCAGCTGCCTGCTTGTTACAGTTGATTTACCCCATTATTCTTGTCCAAGAACTTGTGTATCACCTCTGTGGTTTTAACTAAAAAACACGCCTGTGCCTGAATCTTGATTGGAATTCTGGTGCCTGTTAACACTTGCATTTTCAAGCCTGTGAACTGGAATTAGAGCTGCTCATGCTTGGAGGATTGGGCAGGGCTGAACTTAGGTAGTTTACTCCCCTTTGGGGTCATCTGCGTGGTTGGTTGTTTTCACAGCCTCCCTCTCCCATGCTTGGGCCAAAACCAACTTGTTCCCGAGCTCCTACACATGCTATTGAGGAGAACAAAGCCTTCTTGTTCAGTGCAGCTGCTCTGGCTCCCTCATTGTGGGCAGCAAGGAGCCCAGGCCTTTGGAAGGATATACCTCCAGTTGCATGGGATGGCTTGGGCAGTGGTCAGGGGCTGGATCTGCTCATTGGAAGGGGCTGCCAAGGCCCAACTAGAACACAGTGGGCAAGTTGCAGAGAAA